GGAGGCAGAAGAGAGTGTCCGAGATTTCGCGCGCGCTCGTGTACTCCTCTCGGCCGTTTATCATCCTCGGTAAATCTCGAAAGAACTCGCGAATATTCAGCTTGTACATACGTCTAATATCGTATACACGTCTTATTGGGAATAATTTATTTGGGACCTCTGACATTTTCGCTGCGTGTCCCTGCGCCGCGCCTCATTCGCCATGCATGAATCGCGGCGACGTAAAGTGGAGGTCGTTAGCTAAAATAACTGTGGCACCGTATCTGCGGTATCGCACGTATATACCTCGTTGCCGTTCCGTGTACAGCTGCAGTGTAACGGGTAACAAAGGAGAATTGCGAAGACACTGGGGCGAGAAGGGGGAAACAGGGGGGATGCGAGGAGCGTGCCTTCCCGGAATGCGGGTACGTCATCGCGTTGTAAAACAATGTTATTTCAAGTCAGCGTCGGTGAAATTATCTCTCGCGTTTGTCGTTTTCTGAGTCGCCTCTCTCTCTCTCTCTCTCCCTCTCCCTCTCTCTCTCTTCGAGACGAATAACTTTTCGGCTACGTTGGCGGAAGCTGCTCGCGCAAAAACAGACACTTGAAAAATCTCGTAAACGCTCCGGGACAAAGTGCGGGAATCAGCTTTGACTTTTTCAGCGTAAAACAAATAAAAATTTGTGCACGTACATCGCGGGCCGATGTTTCACGCCGCGCGCATCACCGGTAAATGTCAAAATGCTGACGGCGAGGTGAAAAGTGACGGCGTGCCTTTGTACAACGGGCGACCTACCAGCACTACCGTAAGCGTTATTTTTTTTCACTCCGCGAGCAGCTTGACACGAGGGGAGGGAGGAGGGGAAAGGGAGCGAGAGAGAGAGGCCTTTTTGCACGCGCCTCCCCCGCATTATCAGAAACAAAAAGGGATTAATTAATCTCGTGGCACGCGGCGTTCGAAAAACTCGCCGCCGATTAATAATCGCGAAGAACGTCGAATAATTCATGGCATCCATATTCCACGCGACACCGATATTCAAATTAGTTCACCGCGACGCAGCTTCGCTGCCATCGTCTCTCGACGGCTAATTAATTAATGACGGTCGCTTCCGGCTAAATGATGAATGTCGGTTACGGTTGAACGCCGATTATCCGCGGGTTCAACGATTTAGTACACGTGAGAAAGAGGGGCGGAAAACGATTTCGCGAATTATTGAAATCCGCGCGTTTAGCCAGAATCAGATTTTATCGAGGAGATCACTTCCGTTTGTTTGAAATTCTCGATGCGGAGGGAGAATGCGTCGCGCGATAAAATTATCGGATTCTCGTTTAGAACCCGATCTTTCAATCGCGCTCTTATAAAAATAAATTATTAATTTCAGATTCTATTAAGATATCATGACCATTAAGGTTTCACGCATAAAAGTTGTAATAATGCCTGTAAAAAGCTCCAGATCGTAACAACATGGTTGCGACAATAAAAAGACATTACACGCGGTAATTTAAATAAATTTTCATTAACGGTGTATCTAGTCGTGTTGATAACGATTACCTTTCGAGTTCGTTTAAAGACATCAAAATAGCATATAATACGTATAATAACATGATATGTTCAAAACTGAGTTCCATCCAAATATCTCAGATCAAAGATCATAATGTTAATCATTGTATAAAAAAATGTATAAAATCGATCACTTTCCAGTTTTATCTCAACCGGAAAGCTTCAAGGAAGATAATTCGATCGGTCTCTGATTCTCGGGCCACACCGTCCACGCCCGCTCCCACGTGTATTTCACGCCTTTGCTGTCGCGTTGCGGTGCTATTATACGCCGGGATCGTGCCCCAGTGGCGCGTGTGCATTTCCTGCAGCGTACCGCAGCATATCGCGACTCCTTTATTACTTTACAGACTGGTGCCGCGTGCATCCGGCCCGCCGCAACTGCACCTCTCCCTAAGGGGTCGTCGAGAGGGATGCGAGGGAGCTCGCGCGCGCGCGTTCATGTACTCACCCCGGTGTACTGCCGTCGGTGTACGTTCACCTTGGCATCCGCAGAATGGACGCTTCGCCTCGGAGAGTTCGATCCAGGAATTCCAGACGGTCCGTTCGACAGCGAGAGACGTCGGTCCTTCCGCTACAGTAATTATTCCACGGACGATATATGACGCGCGTCTCGACAACGGCCGACCCACCGTGAAATTGCGCCGTTGTTATTTCGATTTGTCGTAGTTGCATTCCATACGTCCGACGGGGAATATCGGCTGCCACGGAAGAATGTCTCTTGGTTTAATAGTTTTAGAGAGAGCTGCAATGTTACGATCAAAAGCAATATGATATTTGAGAGAAAAATATACGCGCGTTGTTATACTTTCTATATAGAAAAAAAACATAATCCCCCCCGCCCCCCTAGACAAATCTAAAAATAAATATAGTTCAAATTAGAAGATATATTTTTTTCAATAGGTTATACTTTTTTACATTCAAAATTCCGCGTCATTAATGATCATTATATCAATCAGGTCAATCGCGAATGCTGAAGGTATACACATTTTCGAAAGTTTCGCACGAAATAGCGATGTGCACGTTCTGGCATTTCCCGGCCGTGACGAAGCATGCTATCGGTTCGAAACAATCGTTGTAGCTGGTATCACGGGTCACCGGGCGAATCCCTAATTCGGACTGGATCAACGTCGACCAGTTATGAATGTCAATGCAATTGTTGTCAACGGGTAGGTGGTTTGGCGCGACGACGGGAGCATCCGACGCGGATTAAACTCGCGTCGAAGCTCGTGCATTACGGGCGTCGCCGTTACCGTAAGCACGCGGCTGGCAAATTGATTTTAAATCGATGTTGACACGTCAACGACGGCACGATGTTCACCTTGATCTCGGAGATCAAGCTCGTTGACAGCATCGCCCGAAATATCGCGACTGTGATGTCTCGAGTCAATTTCTAGAGTGCAAGACGAGAAAGAAAAAGAGAAAAAAAGATTCCGCGTAGCCATGTGGAAATAATTCTCATCGATCATTCAAATCTTTCTCGTATAATAAATAATCTATATATATTCGCTTCTGTCAATCCGTAAATTTATTCATATCCATTGATTTCGAATCGTAGAATTTCTGTTTCCGGAGGTGTTTCACTGAACGCGCGCGCGCGCGCACGAATCTACGTAAATAACGATTCTGTATGCCGAATGAATTTCTTGCAACAAAAGCGTCAGCGTAGTGTCTTTAATTGAGCCGCTTTGTCGTGCGGTGAAATGTCCGCATTCGGTCCGCGCCGCTTTGCGGGAATTGCGGGCATAAACTTTTTCCACGGCCGCGACAGATTGGCATTGCCCGAGGGACAAGCGGGATGATTATTCTTTACAGAGCGGACTCCTGTTATTAGATTAAAGTGGAGCACCACCGGCCGCGAGTGTCATTAACGTCGCCAATTAGCACGACCCCTCGGCCCGTCTTTGCGCGCGCCGCAGTATTTTATACCGACCCCTCGGGATCTTTATTTGCCGCGACAAAACAACGCAAAGCGATGTTTTACACGAAAATACGTCGCTGGCTCCATTATTCCGTAGGGATAGACACGAGAGGACCCAAAGGCATGCCGGGTCCCCTTCTAAATTCACGTATAACACTCCAACGCGACGAGCAAATCACGTTTGTGAGCCCGTAGATTTTTATGCATCCGCGAGGGTCAGGGAAAGAGACGCGTAAAATTTTTATTGCACATGATGCACAAAAGAAGACACGTATGAAATTTTATTAACACATACGTATTTTTTCTACTATATATGTATACATACATATGTAACATTTTTATTAATGAAAATTTCTGTTCTAATTTTTTTGAATCTAGATTAAAAAGCAATTTTCAATAAGCACTAAATACAAATTAGCTCCACTGATTACCACGGTTTTTTTGCGCTCGCTCTGTATTCAGCTCACATACCTGACCCCGTATCACAGTTTCCACCTTGTTTCACCCCGCCACATTGTAACGAAGCCCCTGAGCCCCCGAGTGGTTCTTCCGTGTGTGCCATTAGCGTCGTTAGTTAACGCAATTAACCGTGCTCATTCGGTCGCCGATCTCTCCCCAGAATTATTTAACGCGCAAAACAACACACGGCAAAGGCGCAGAATACTTCGCGATAAGAACACGCGGTGGCTCGTGGCTCATGAAAGCCTTAGTATTCGAGAAGACAAGAAGTTTTGCGCAATGCAGAAGTCGGAATATTTTTATCGATGTTAATTAACGTTTATCTTCTCGGCAATTAATACTTAATTGTTAAAAATATTCCTGAAGAAAATTAAGCATACACCTACCTGTAAATAATCATCATTGACAATGCTGACACATAATCCAAATTAACAATTAAAATAAATTATCACGTTACGCTTTGACATATCATGGCAATCAATCAAAAAAAATTATATATGCATGTTAATTTTACTACAAATAAATAAATAAGAATTTTAAATCAATGCGTGATTTGTAACATGGCTGAAAAAGTAAAGGAAATAAATTTTATTATTTATTTTCAATATATTCGATAGTATGACTGGATGATTGTAGAGAGCAAATTGTCCATTGTCTTCGGATCCATTTCCAAGAAGATATTTCCATGGACCGTCGTAAGTACATGATGACCTATTTAGAATGCCAGACGACTAATTAATAGCGGCCAACGACGTTGCCGCACTGGCAAACGGCGCCGTCGTTATTTCAAGGCCATTTATGAGCTTTCCGCCAAGTTCTCCATTGTCTATAAATCAAACGTTCGGCATGCTCGTCTCTCGCTTTGGTTCACTGAAGAAAAACTGAAAGACTCTATCTCGAAAACAAATGTTTCTAAAATAAATAAAATGTTTTTCAAAATGTTCAAAAGATACTTCGTATATATTTTTCTACAAATGCATAATAATTGGTCGTCTGGAAGTCGTCTGGATCGTCAAAACGATGAAACGTCATTCATAATCCGAAAATATTAAGTCTTCGTTAGATCAATCAACACACATGATATATTATGTCACGAAAAACAACTTTATTTCCAATTTTTACAATGATACCTAGCTTCCCCGTCCCGTACGAAATCGCGAAGAGGTTTCGAGTGAGAGGCGAAAGACGAGGTAACGGCACGCGCGCGACGATCGATGCGATACGATACGAGCGACGAGAGTATGGCGCGCGGGAGAGAGTAATATCCGGTTATAAAGTAAAAGGTATTCAACTCACAGTATGGAGATGGATTGATGGATGGATAAATGGATCAGGACGAGGAGTTCGCGGAATACACGCGCATCAAGCGATCGTGGAAGATGCAAGCACGACAAAACGGCGATCCCGACGCGTGCGGCACGCAAGACGCGTGCAATACGCGTAGCTAATCGCGTGTCGCACGTGTCAAATCGCAAATAATAATTTAAACGTCCGTGCGTACGCGTTGCGATAAGTATGGGGCGCGCGCTCGTGAACACTTTTTTTTTAAACCGCCCGTCCTTAAAGCAAGATCGTCTCCGGTATTTACATTGCGTCCGGTATACTTTCTATACTCCGTCGCGATTCGTTACTTGATCCGTTGGGCGAGTAAAAATAAATGTTTGATATACACATCGACGTTCGTGCACGATTACTTTGGCGGGATGTTGTCAAATCTGGAAACTCCTTTCGCGGACAGAAAACTCGGCGTGATAAGAGGAGGCGAATTTATCAGAGGTAAAATGTTTATTTAAAGAAAATATTATCGAATAAAATATTTTTCAATTTCGTATCACTGTTCCATTTGACAGCACTCTCGAAATCTACCTGAGAAAGTTAAAACTCCTTTCGCATGTATTGCATATATCCCTCAGAGAAATTTAAATCGTGTCCAGAAGGCGGTACCTTAATGCGCGCGGAAGTGTGTGTTTACGTACAACGATCGTCATGAGGATGGAAAAGAAAAGCGTCTCACTGTATTCGCCTCTCCCGGCACAAAATATTCCTATTTTTTAATTGCTAAAAAAGATATTGTAGACTATACAAGGCTGGCAGCGATATCTCTCTGGGTTCTTCATTTCTTCGTTTTTCTCTTCACTGTCATCGGTTGACTCCGTCTCTCCCTGTTCCCCCTCCCCTGTCACCCCCGCCCCGTCTTCTATGGACGTCCCCGTCTCGTGGTTCGGGACAGTTTTCTACACTCCGCCCGCACTACTTCTGCTGAAACAATTCGGACAACACCGAAAGGAAAGTGAAGGGACGCTCACGGATCCACCTCCAATTACTCTAAACGCTCTTTTGTACACCGAAGAGCACTACATCGATAATCGGGATGCCTTTTCAAGAAGCGTATCAAGCGTGTCGAACGTATCAAGAGAAGCCATAACATCAAGTAAAATAATCAATACACATCAATATATAATCAATATGTAACAAAAAATGCTTTCTGAAGAATAAATATTTAGCTGAAAAAAGATACACCGTGATATTGCAATTACTATACATAAATACAATAAATTTCTTGGCAACAAATAAACAAATACAATTAATCTTGTCTGCGACTGCTATTATCAGAAAAGCTATGCAAAATCTGTATTACATGGAAACGTATCGATAAGCCGAGCTATCGTTGATCGGTATCGAGAGAATATCCCGCGGCCAGCTATCAATTACCGGAAACACACGCGTTTATCCAGCGCGGCTAGACCATCGTGAGGGCGTATATCTAATCGCGCTGCTTGTTTAAGGGGTTGTAACTTAGCGCACTGACCTTTGCGGGATCACCGGCGCCGAGATATACGAGACCGGTCGCACCTGCGTACGCCAGCAGAGTGTCGATCGCCTGCTGCGTCTCCAGCAGAATCTTGGCCTCGTTCATCCAGTCGCGGGCGATGCTTCTCGGCGCACCCTTGAGCAGATTCATGTACCTCAGGGTCATTTTGAAGTCGCCGCGGTCCAACCAGTATCTGAAACAAGCAGTTTAAGGGCGATGTGTTCAAAGCCGCGCGATTCAAAACGACGGCTGGCTCTCCGTCAGCACAATTCCATCTGTATTTTTATTTGTATTCTGATCAACGCGGCTTAATAAATTGTAATAATATCTCTGGATAAATTCAATCGATTTGTCAATTTGATATAATCGAATGATTCGCAAACTGCAACGAGCGGCCGCGGCCCCCGCAATTTGTGGGAAGCAATCAGCGTGGAAGATTTGTTGGCCGATTTCTCTATGGTTATTCACGAGTACAACTACTGGTTGCTGGCCACTTCATTCCCGAGTTTCGAGACAGACGGGACCGTGTATACCCGCGCTCTCTTCTTCTCCTCCTCCCTCGTTTTCCAAAGAGAAATACCGGAGAGATTGCGCGTTAGTTTAGCAGGCGAAAGGGACTCGCTCGCGGCGGAGTAGTTGGCGACATCCGGTAGCGGGAAGCCGCGTCATCGGCCACGTTCTTCCAAAAGGAAGCGTCGATTTGGAGGAAGAGAATCTGCGGTTCGTTAAAATCTTCGTCCCTGACCGAACGTTCAAACTGGCATTCCGCACAAATCGTTTGTTCGGGAGAGGGGGGGGGGGAGGAGTGGGAGCGAAACGTTTATTCATCGGCTTAGGATTAAGTGGGTGATACCTAGCGGATGTCGCTTTTCTCGCGGCGCAGAAACGCTGAGCCTCCAAGAGGAAACCGCACGCTGGACCAGAACATCGGCTGAGAACTTTACACAGAATACACTGGATCGCTTCCAATACGGGTAAAGTGAGATTAATGCTGCATCCCGACTTACCCGGTAGATTAGGAAGAAAGAGAAAAAATGCCAGTGTTTCCAAAACGACGCGAGAGGATTTCTAAACGAACGGATGCAAGATGGTACAATTGAAAAATCACCTTCTTTCGTTACACCGAATATCGCTATTCCTAAGTCGCAATGTAGCTATATATTCTGTTTATTATTCATAGAAAAACAATTAGAAGAGCAGCTACTTTTTTTATAAAAAACAAAAAAGATTATGATAATTAACTAATCTTCAAATTGAAATAAATTATCTAGTTATGTTCTTGGTTCCAAATAATTGAATAATTGAATAATTGAAACATACGTTTCAATATTCAATTTGCTAATTTAATGTGTAAATATTTTTCGATATGTGTGCAACACAAAATAAATTATTTTATGCCCGACAATACATTTCGTAAATTTTATATCCCACCTTTATGCTTTTGAATCACGCATCAATTACTATACAGTCGTGAAACGCTGTTTTTTTTATTCTAAAAATGTATTACATTATTAAATTGATAATCAACTACTGGATGCTGGTAAGCGTCATTTTAAAAATTAACTGTCCATTATCGGATCTTGTTCGTCCATACACCGGTCTGCTGGCGGGATTGCAGCTTTCAAAGAAAACCCGAGGATCAAGTGACGTCGCGGACAATCCGACGTACGTCGGAAGCTACACTGCCTATCTTCTCATTACGACAGATCCTATGGAACGGCTACGTGAAATGGGACGGCGATTCGGCGCGGCGTAGCGCGAAACGTTTATATCCGTCCCTTCGGTATCTTGAGATCGACTCTCGCATGTAGTCCACGTGGCCTAATTCGGGGCACGGACGCGCAACGATCGCGGATACTGAAGTTTCTTGCTGCTTTCGAATTTCATATTCGGCAATATCGCTCCGGGGGAACTTTCCCGCTTGGGCTTGGCCTTCACAAAGACGAGCGAGCGAGGTTCTCGGATTCTAGATTAAGAAAATCCTTCGTTTTTGTGCGCTCCTTTGCTGTAGATCGTGGATAAGCTCGGTTTTCTTTACGCCGACCGATCGTCCCGATTGCGGTGGTGCGCGATATGGACTTCACGTAATAATTTTAATTAAACTATCACATAAGACGAAGAAACCGCTTATACTTCCTTCTGTCTACAAATTCTTCAGTCTAACTGACGCTTTCTTCTGTTTAATAAAGAAATCTCTCTCTCCTACGAGAATTCAAAGCTTTTATTAATTTAAGGAAATCCTATTCATTCATTTTAAGGTAAAAAGAGAAACCTTTCAGTTTCAACTTTAATTTTAATTAGCAGGTAATCAACAATTTAAATTTTAAACCTTTTGACAAGCACAGCTTATTTAGAAATCCCTACTTTCGCCCCGATTCGTCGATTTGAGGAAAAGATATCGACTTTCGATTGCTCGAAATGAAATGATAGATTATCATATAAAATAATTAATATAACGGACGCATAATGGAACGACAGCTGCGCGTGTTTCCAACTAATCGAACGAAAGTTGGAGGATTAAATTTTAGAATGCATCCCTCAAATATTCATTTGCAAAAGCCGAGACCGGAGACAATGCTCCTATCAAAACTCGCGAAATCTTTTACGGGAGGTATATTCCCGTGATATATCGACCGTACACCCGTCGCGGGTGCATCCCTCCCCCTCGGGAGCTCGGAAGTCTTACCCGCGAGCGTTGAAAGAACATGTGCATACCGCAGTACGCTCCCGAAATTAAAAATTCAGAAGGCTCACGTCCGCGCTTCAGCCCGCACGTGCTCGTTTCGTGGACGACGTGAACGAACGTGTCGCGCGGGGCTACCTATATACGTAGACCTATGTATGGACATATCGGCAATTCTAAAGGCGCAACTTGTATTGGCGTAACTTATTTCGACCTACCCCCGCAGAGGCCCGACCCGAGACACAGTCCGCTGATAAAGTGTGCCGGTCTCTCGCATCAGCAAATATTATTTATTCACGTCGCTGAGTGCCATTCGTAATGTCTGCCGCGCGCGGCTGCATCGGCTTATTTTGCACGAGATCCCGCGCATTCGAAGAAAACAAAGTGTTCTTGATAGAATAATTAAGTATTCATCAGGACACCGCTCACGCCTTCTATACGAGCGGCGAGGGAAGAATACAACTCGAATTGCATCCCGGGAGAGCTTTGATTAAAAGAGCACGTACGTATCGCTGCAGCAAGCTCCTCCTCTGCGAAATTACGAAATTACGGATGCTAAAATGTTGCGTGCGTCATGGCGACGATTGAATAAAAAAAAAAAAAACAATTACTCAACTATTAAATAAAAAAATTATATTTAATTTCGCAGATCGCAAAATCTATTCGAGAAACTGCGATTTCTCCTCGCCGCACGCGCGCCTCGCAAAATTATATTTTTACGCATCGATAAATGAACTTTGACATTTTCCCTCCTCTCTTTCGGAATTCATTCGGGAGATATCCTGAATAATGCAGCTTTAATCCGTGGTGGAAGGCATGGGAGGGGCAGCGACGCGTGCGGATAAGAGAAACAAGAGAAAAAGGGAAACAAAAACTGGCAAGAAAGTTGGAGTGTATATAGAGTCCATTTTCCTTCGCGGTCAACACTCGACATTTCGCGAGCCACAACGAGCGCGGAGTCGAGTGCTTTTCAGCATGTAAAACTGTCGCTTTACGACACGTGACACTGGCCGATTGCCCCTTCATTGCATCCGTGGCATCGCCGCCGTTTCAAAGATCCCTCTCGTCCGCGCGTAACGTTTTTCCCCACAAGCACTTGAGATTCTCAACCGCTGCGGTTAAGACACGATCGAGCGATGAATTTTTCGTGCGGATGAAAACGCAAGCCGCTGCTCTCGCAGATTTTTGTACGTGAGACCGTTCAAATATCTGATCCGGCACCGTCGTGCCGGAAACCGTTTTCTCGCACATCTGTACAAGGGATTCTATCGTCAGAATAAAATTTTAACGACGAATTCTCTCACAAATCTATGGTCGCGAGCGCTTTCGCACACTCTCCATTTCTCGCGTAAATATTTAAACTGCAGGGCGTTAATAAAACGCGTTTGTAATGCTTTTATGAGATTACATATTTTACTGTGAAAAAATAAATTCAAGCGAGCTGCAACACACACCTCCCCGCGGGGCACATATGCTTATCTTTATTTAGTGTTACCCAGAATAAATCGAGAGCATCTTTCATAAGGGAAACCAAAGGGTCCTCGTGATCAAAGGGTCCTGCTGACGCGAGGAAAAACGAAGGGATAAGTCGGTAAAACGGCTCGCCAGCGGATTTTCGCCGGGGATAACCTGACGAGTAGTAAATGGCGGTGTTCTTTGTCAAAGTGTACGTGGCGGGTATTACGGCAGGTGTTTTCGTCTTTCCCGCCCCGTTGATGGCCGACCGGATATATTGCGCTCTACCCGGTCCTTAGGGTCTCGTAAGGATAATTTATAGGGTCAACCCGGGAACGAGCGAACAAGAGAAAGGGAGATGGAGGGCCCTGCGTGACGTGGAAATTGCCGCTCGAGTTACGAGTTACAATAAAAGTGCATTTAATCCGCGACACGATAAATTCTTTCGCTGTCTAGCATCGACAATTTTCCGCCGTCGTTTGTTTACTTTCGCAACCCGTACTCCGTTTTCGTATCGCAAACGTAACTTTCGCGAGGATCACAAACAATTTTTAAGAAGAGACGCACGTAATCAATTTGCGATGAAACAGATATTGGGAAAGGTATTCTCGCGCTCGTTTACAACGTCCGACGTGATCTCGCAGTTCCTTCGCGCGCACAATAAATTCAATCGATCTCTTCGTCTTTAGAGAGATATGAGGGAATCTTTGACAATTTACGAGAATTCTTACCTGGCACGCTGGAGTATGTCGTACGTATTCAGCGACTCCACGTCGATTGGCTCGTCTTCGAGCTCCTTTTTCGGAATTGAATTGGCCGTTTTGATGATCAAGAAACTTTGAAGATAGCTAAGAAAATATATAGGCAGGGCTGCACCGCCTTCAGGCACCATGGCTAATCTTCTTGCCACTCTCTCCACCTAGGGTAACGTACAACGAGCGAACCATTTTCAAAAATTGATATTATCATTTACATAAAAGAATTTCGCGAGCTGATACCGTAACAAATTTGTAAATGAAAAGGGAGACTTTAGGAAAATGATAATGCTGTCGTGAATAATTTACTACATCGTACTACGATCGTGATAAGTTTAACGGAACTTGACATATATTTACAAAAAATCGCGAACTAACGTATAGTGTAATAAGTAGTACAAAGTATAATTTATTATACTATGATAAAATAACGCTATTGTAAAATTGCAACGTTTATCCGTTTGTCGATTCAAATAGTGTACTACAGCGACCAGTGATCTCGAAGATCGTCTCGCGAAGGTAGGTCTCGTGAGAGCACGATTCTAAAGAATGGGAAACACGGTAATTACCTTGAGGAACCTGTCGCGGAGGGTGTCCTCCGTGAACACGCCTCTCTTGACCGCCTCCTCGGGAATGCTCTGGATAGCGGCGCGCACCAGGGGATCCTCCTTCGCTGGAATCAAAAGAAAGACGGGAGACTGAATCGACGGTGAACGTAACGGCAGGCTCGGCTGTTTAATTAATTGAAGTCCACCAATTGACGTCTATTTTTCATACGTTCGTTCATTCGGCCAACATTTCGAGAATTCCGACGAGCAAAATTAATCAGCGTACGTATGTTATTCGCAATAACCGAATTTCCGCTATAGCCCAATTTGCTTTGTGGCCCACCGTACCCGCAGCATTCTGGCTACGTTTTTCCCCGCATTGAATGTATTGCTTACGCTGCATCTACAACACGCTATGGACACGCGTTTGAGGTTGCGGTCCGCATTCATTATCGCGAATAATATACGTGTACAGTAATAAATTTATTATACTGTAAAAGCTGTTTTTATGTGTTGGATAATCACACATTTACGCCAGTGGTTCGAGCCAGTCATCGATTGAACCTCGCGAGAACGCGCCATCGTCGGCACTGTGAGTTTCAGCGAAAATTGAAATTACGAAGGTGACTTCGCGGTGGCGGTAGATTAAAACGGTGAAAGGGCTCGGGGGGAAAAAAATTTATAGACACTTGGCGCAATTAAGGGCGAATGTTCGCGGTAGGGACATAATTAATGAACACGTGCGCAGCGGCGCTCCATCAGACCTATACGGGGCTCTTTTGAAATGCCCACCGTACAGCCTTTATGAAGGTTCCGCTCGTTTCCGATTAAGCAGTAAATCTTCAACGGTGCTCTCTTCCGCGACGCGCTTTGCCTTGCTCCGTTCTTATCCGCTAGATCGTATGGTCCACATACACACATACCCGATTCGAGAGAGAGAGAGAGAGAGAGAGACCCCGTCGTCGTCTCCATTGTTCCAGCCTTTCATACTCGGTGTAAAACGAAAGCGGTCCCCGGAACGGGACGCGAATTGCTGGGACGCGGCGGCGGGCGACCGAGCGATTAAAAGCGCGTGCAGAGCTCGTTCCCGAGTGGAGAGAAAAGCTGCTTACAATACTCCAAAAGCCAGAACAATACTCTTTTTTTTTTCACGTTCGCAGATTTAAATTAGATTACGGCTTGACTGACGGAGAACAGATCAATGCCGACAAAAGTCAACGTCACAAGCTGTGTAAAGTTGGCCCCCTTACTACTGAAAATCCACTAACTATTATCATTCGATTGGTGGTTGTTTGATAGTATTTGGTAGTTCATTCCCGATGAATGGTAGTCAGAATTGTAAATAAATAATAAAAAAAAAAATATTCGCGCGTGAAGTTAGCCCCTTTCGCAAAATATGGCTTTCCAGACTGCGTAAGTAATCATAACTATAAGCATTTGTTTGGTGGTTGTTTATTGACGTTTTGGTCAAAATTTGACTAGTATTCATCGGAAATGGACTACCAAATGCTACCAAACAATAACCAATCAAATGGTAATGGTCATTAGTGGATTTTCAGTAGTGGGAGAGGGGGGGAGAGGCAACTTCATATAGCTAACATCACGAAACCTGCAGCTGGCGCTTGTATTTCGCATTGACGTTTGCAAATATCGAAAGATTGTGAACAAGATACGAAGATTTCGTTTGTTTCTTCCTTCCTCTCCCTTTCTATATGCACATATACAAACATAAAAAAATAAATATACACATATTTATGTATATTACATTTATTTATAATACATATGTACATATATATATGTACATATGTATATGAGTGACCAATTACGGAAAAAATATTGGGAATAGAAAAGAGGTATCAGATGAAATATGCGAATCTCGGTATTTATATGCTCGAACGCTATTGTTGTGTGGCAAAATGCTGTTGAAAGCGTGTTTCAACGCGTTGAAAATGGTGCTATGACACGCCGAAAAAATTCGAAGGATGAAACAATAACACATCCCGTATAAAAATAATATTTTTCAATATCAGAGCGCAGAATAATAATGGAAATATATAAATAAACATTAAGCGGGAATTTAGATAAATTGTTTATCCATTGAAAACGAGATGCTCTATATATGTATAGATAGAGAGAGAGAGAAAGATATATGTATAGAGAAAGAATGCGTTAGTTTTTATTCATTCAAATATTAGTCATACTCTGCAAATATGCACGTGTACATATATATAATGTTTAGAATAATAGTAACGCGCATGAGATTCTACGGCGATACGCTGCCGAGTTAATTAACTCAGTCCGGTGTTAAATTCAACAAAATTCATTTGCGAAAAGCACGCGGTAATAGTAATAATGTATGCAACTGCACGTCATAATAATTATGAACGACTGCAGTACAAGCGAAACATTGTATAGCTGGGCGACTTCCCAGCTATACAACTGGCAAAGTCTTGCACGCGTTTCCACACTCCAAGTTTCTCGCGCTACTTTAGAAGTTATTCGCCGTATTTTGTACGTCAGGCGCAAACCGCAGCCCACCGTAATACAAAATTACTTTGAAAGCCCATCGCGTTATTTCTTCGTTTGAAAAGCAAGTGCACGTAAGTTAACATATATGTATGTTAAAATATTTCGAATAAATTATCATCTGCGAGAAAGGGCGCATATATATTTGCATAATAAATTTATATTTATGTTAATTTTTGTAAATTAAAATTTCGGTGGCATCTCTTAAATTCTTTGATTTTTTAAATAATTAGTTTATTAATCATTTAATTTTTAGTATATTCTTAAAATCAAATTTAATCAAGATACTTACATGCTGCGTTGGAGATGGCCTTAATTTCGGGTTCCAGCGGCTTAACTGGTCTATCCTTTGGTGCACCCGGCGACGAGATTTTCACTGTCCTGGCCAAGGCTTGACAGGCCGCCCAAAGGATCTGTACATTCGATGTACCCTTCTCTTCATCCATGCGAGCTGAAATAAAAAAAATATCTCATTTAAACTTGACTTCAACGTCTTGATAAAAATTTCTCGCGCTCGAGAGAAACTTACGCCACGTTCTCGACTATTAAAAATTTAAATAGTCCTGTTAATAGCCCGGAACCAAAGTTTATATGGTGCTGAAACCTGAAAATCGCGCTCTCGTTTCTCTTCACTAACATAATTTTGCATTTTTACGGTCGTAAATTACCGAAAAAGATAGTTAGTGGGATTTATATCCAAACGGTATTACGCGCTAGAGATTTAAATATTGCAGAAATATCATACGAAAGTGTAATTTAGCAATTTATTTGATATATGTGTCATATGTGTTGTACATGTTAATAAACGCGATAAAACTTACATATATCGTTATTAAGTTCAGCACTGAATTGCGACTTGACGGTATCTGTCGCAAAATTGTAAAAAAATAAAAATAAAAAAAAAAGAGAGAGAAAGACCCGCAATCGTCATGAGAGACCGATTCGTAAAATTCGCTTGTCTAATTTAATTTGTGCCCACGTATCCGGTTGCCCGATCGTTCGGAAATCCTCGGGAGTATCGCCGTCGTGTTACAATGACAAACATTTCGCGCGCTGCCGTGACGTGGCGAAATTTTTCGATAACAGCGTTCACCTGGGAAAATCCCGATACGTAAACTACAAAACCCCTCGTCGAGAGTCCCCGTGCTGCTCTTCCCATACGTGCTCGTGCGATCGGCGTTGCGCATTATCCCGTTCGTAAACAAAGATAAAAACTTGATACGTACGTCAGCTGAAGTGTAATTCACGGTCATTTGTTGAAACATTAAAATGTTGTGATACGCACCCGAATCAAATTCAGCAATTTATTTGTGTCTCGCGCTGGATAATAATACGCTTTTCCAGCTGCTCGGCAGCCGATTCGCGGGGAACTGGCAACGGAGAAATAAATAATCGCCCGGACTTCCGTCGATATGGTCGAATCGAAAATACATTCGTTTACATTGTTTACAATCGTGGTAAATATTTTCATATGAGTCGCGCGTCGCGTGAGCGTGAAAATATTGTTTGGAAATATACTCGGTGGGTCAATTAAATGGTAATATAATCGCGCGATATTTGCGGGATTTTGTATTTGTTAACTTCACCGAGAGACTAATTGAATCATCGTTAAATCATCGTGCCGGCATAATCGGCATTTAATCGACGGCATGACGAGCATCCACCTGTCGAACGGCGATTGATGAACTGTAAATCGGCCAGAAAGATGTTCGGCACGGCCGTTAACGCCGCCAAGGCGGGCGAGAGGAACGGGATTCAGCTGGATCTCTCTCGGTGCTACCAGTCCGTGATTTATTACGCGTATCAATCCGGATGGAGTTTACGGAGCGATCTCTTGTCTAGAGAAAATTACTCTGCTCGGTTAGAGATTTTCCGTGCGGCTCTCTACCGTTTCGGCTTGTTTTCCCAGACTCGAGGTTCGGTCCACATTTGCGTTTACTGTGTGACGAACGTCGCGTCATAGGTCTAAATTAACGTTGATTCAGACTTTAGACAAAATTTGATAAGTTTTAATTCTTGGTCACGTGACATAATTTTCATTTCAAAACTGCAAACGTGTTTGTCTAATTTAACGGTATCGTCGCCGGCCGAAATTATCGAAGTAATTACAAGTCGGTTCACGCTCGTGCTTTAGAGAAAAGTGCGAAAGCAAATTACGGTCTGTAATAAGCGCAATATCATTCTTTATAACGACAATCGCTCTAAAAGCACGAACATTTCGAGGGCACAGACGCGCGCGTGATTAATCTCCCGCGATAGAGAGAGGCCGGGGTTCTCCACCCCTTTCCAGCAATTTTATCGTCGCGGCGTGTTACGGGGCGCAATTTTGTGTGCCGCCCAAATATCATTACCGTGCTTTTTCATAAAATATCTATAATACGTTCAGCGGGGAGAAAAAAAGGTGAAATCCTTGCGAAGGCTTAGTCAGCAAACCGCCTGGGTTTATCTCCCATTTTAAATTACTCGGGCTCAAATAACCGAATATGCGATTCGTGGTCGCGGCAATATCATTTCTCGCTACGGCAATAAAATTTCCGGTGCTCTTTACGCTAATCCTTCGCGCGGGGCGCATTTTTATCACGCGACGCGCCTCGGAGAACGGCGTCGGGGGAATAGACTGTATTATCAATTTCGCCGTATAAGCAAGCGACCTCGCAAATTCGCAACCGCAAACCAGTCCCGGCCCGCATCCGCGGCGAATTACCGAATCCGTCGTGCTATTTCGGCTTTATTGCCCGGCCGGGGCTCTCCGCCGCTTTATTGGCGGTGCATTACTCACAGCCCGCGCGACCGTCTGTCGCTATTTCCTTTTTACGAGAGCGAGTCGAGCGGACGATAGGTAATTCTTGCGAAAAATCGAACAGAAGTGTCGTCGTATCGCGACTTGTCGGGCCACGGCGAAATTCCGTTCGCGGGACGGTATACACTGCACCCGTCACGTGCCCAGGAAACTAATTATTCGGTAACATCCGGATAGTTATTAACTTCGCGGTTTTATATCCGCCTGTGCCAGTCATCGTTCGGTTTTATTGGCAATACCGCTGAATCCGCTATAATGCCATCCATTGGCCCATCCATCCTACTCTTCCCTCACGGTCCCCCTGTCAAAATACGGACACATGTATCTGACATAAAAAAAGAAAAACCAGTTTAACTTACGAATCTTCCAGAACTACGGAATACAAACTACGTAGATAAATATGCAAATGTATAATAAAACAACGAGTTGTGCATTTTCAATATTTGATTTTGTAATACTTAAATCCCGATTAACTGATCGCAACGCCCACCACATCCCATACATAATCGATCGATTTTCGTCAACTTTATCGCTACTAAAATGCAAAGTACTTGAGAGCCATAAATGGGTAAGAGATAAATTATCGAAAAGACACGGTATTTTAGAGACCATCGCGTTCTAGCACAGCACACTATTTACATTTGCCGCATATAAACGACCGATCATAAATTAATGTCTTACAAGGGCTTTTCCTTTCCCGTCACGCAACATCGGATCCCAAGTCGCATTGGCGGAATGCATCGACTTCAGCGGCAACTTAAAGCGACCGTAAAGACAAAATGACAGACCGATTGCCCGACATGCGATATATATCCCGGAATCTGCTTTCCTTCGCTTTCTCTCTCTCTCTCTCTCTTTCCGTTTTTCCTCGGTGCTTATATTGCCGCGCAATGGACTTTCAGCGAACGATTCTCACGCTCGAGCTGGTCGGCGAGCATCGACGCGGAAAACGGAGAAGGTCGAAGGGCTCGGGACTGTTTCAAGCCGGATCCACTCCATCTCGCGTGTCGATCCTCCGTCCCAGTTCCCTCCTTGCCCGACGAAATCGCGTTATTACGAAGGGCAAAGTCGCCCGACAGACGGCTGAACCGGAGATTTCGTCGCGAAAAGTTCCCGAGCTCCTCTCTAAATCCGCCGTGTATCCGTGGGAATTATCACTCCCGAATGAACGCGTCCAATTATTCCGGATAATTACTAGTTTGTCCGAGCGTACGCCGTCGCCGGCGGCGGCGGCTCGTATCGTCACTCGGATGAACGAAGTTCCGCTCTCTGCGGTCTGTCCGAATTAATTGTCTCCACTGGTTGGCTCGTGAAGATCGTAATTACCGGACCGCGGACATTTTTCTCCGAGCTTATCGACCGGCGCATCCGCGCGAGAAAGTAAAGAAAATAATAATGAGCCAAAAGCGCTTATAAATGTGTCCTTTCGAACAAACGTTTCGTTTTATAAATTGCTGTTACAACAATCAAACAAGTGATGGCCCGATCCGACTGTATCGGGGTGTTCTAAATTTCATCCCGGCAAATATTGATTATCGTGTATGTAGAAAGATTTCAGTAAACTGTTTGTTTATCTTGTAACTTACTGTGTATATACGTGTGTCAATTTTCGTACTTCGTTATCAGCTTTGTCTGCGATTGTCATGCCACTTCATAAGAGCGGCGTAAAAGCGGATGTTATTACTATACGAATGTTGATTAACGCGAAATGAAATTAAATTTAATTATAATTCAACGACGTGTATTTCGAGCCATTACATACTCCATAGTACCACCACGCCACTTGCCTTCCGCAAGTACTGTGTCCCCGCGCTTTGTTTCACATATTTTTCAATCCAATAATCATTTATACACCTGCCACCGTTTGTCGCAAAAAATTCCGTGTGTTATCTGGTGGCACCGCGCCAGGTCACACACTGCCGCCGTCTGTTCCTCTCTTTTATGTCTTTTTTCCCCTCTCTCTCTCTCTCTCTCTCTCTCTCTCTTTCCCTTTTTCCCTTTTTCTCTCTCCCTTTCTCATGAGTTTAAATCTCCAGCTAATCGATAAGGAGAAAACTCAAATGCTGGCATTTTATTGTTGAGAATTTGTGGCCGGACAGTACTTATCGGTTCATTCGGATGAATCCGAAACGAGCGGTCTTTTCTATCCTCGCGCTCTCAATCGTTTCCGACCCATCTGCTCGCTTTTCACAAAGTGAGGAACTGGTTAAATCAGTTCGTAGGGATTAAGCGGCATCAGGCCACGTGATATTTTACGCTCCAAAAGCTGTGTGAATTTCGAGGGCTGCTCCATGCCCTGCTTTCATCACCGCGCGAGCCGTACGTCCCACACCTCTCTCTCTCTTTCTCTCTCTCTCTGTTGCTCTCCGTCCTTTCTGTGACCCTGTTTTCCGAACGCTCTCTCGGATTGACGAGCGTAACGATGCGGTCGACGCACGACAAAAGGGTGGATTGCACAATCCCCCGTGTCGACACGCCAAACGCTTTTGCCTTGTCCGCCGACACACATTGCGTCACGACGTGCCGCGCCCCCGCACACGTCGGCCGCACTGATTGAAAACATCGCGTAAAACGCGCGCGACCAACTTTTCCTCCCACGGGGGGAAAGAGGGTGGGGAGGGGGGAGATACCACCGGCCGGCCGCCGGAGCC